TTGTTAACCCATGTCCCCAGGGTGGGGGGTAAAATCACGCCCTGCTGAGACCTAGTGCCCTAGTGCCTTTGCCATAACCTTCGCCAGGTACAGTGTGTGCCATCCTCCTCATCCCCTCTCCTGGCCCCCTCGATCTCAGCATTGCCCACCAGGCTTCCCTGGCAGATGGTTCTGCAGGTAGAAGGCAGAGGGGGTGGGATGGGGGCTGTGGTCACATCCTGGTAGGCACTCACCAGCTGTGAGATCTTGGGCAGGCAACGTCACCTCCACACACCCTCCTACTTCCTTGTTTGTAAAATGGGACGACCAGGGTCAGGAGGCTAAGGTGGGAGGATCACTTGAGCCTGGGAGGTGGAGGCTTCAGTGAGCCATGATCGTGCCACTGCACTCCAGCCTGGGCGACAGAGTGAGACCCTGTCTCAAAAGAAAATAAAATGGGATGAATAGAAGCTGCCTCCCTCGCCGGGAGTGAAGGGGTGAGAATGCCAGCAAAGTGCTCAGCCCGGAGCTAGAGCGTAGGAGGAGGATCTGGGAGCCTCCGGGTTGCCTCGTCCACCCTTCCATCAGGGGAGCGATTGCAGGGGTGCCAAGGACAGACATGGGCTTCGTCTGCAGCCACGTTTCTGCTTCTTTCCCGTCCTGGTTTCTTTCTGGCCGTGGCCTTGTTTCTCCCATGTTTGGCGGCTGTGTCTCCTTTGCTCTAGAAGACCGATTGGAGCTCCGCAGCAGGAATTCAGTTTTGAGTTAGCGTGTCCAGTTGGTTGCTACCTTCTCACTGCCACCACCAGATGCTAAATTGGCAGGACCCAGGTGGGGGCCATACCAGGGTCCTCTCTGGCCACCCCAGGCCCCTGGGCCTGCAGGGTTGCCCTGCACTGCTCAGCCAGGACCCACCTGCCCGCTGCCTCAGCCGCCTGTGGGAAGGGCACTGGGACAGACCCGTGTGGCCTTCCCAGGTGGGTGCGCACTGCCTGCCTGGACGGGGTGGAGGGGGGGTCGGCCACCAGCTATTGACCTTGCTTTGAACTTGTTTACTGCTGTGTGAGTTCAGGGAATGACATAATTTCTGTCCAAGCTCCCTGGACTAAATTTAGGCCCCAGGAAAAGAATTTCCCCTGGGTGAGTTCCAGTACTGCGGTGCTCAGAGAATCGGCTGCTGCCCTGAGCCCTTGAATGCTCTGTGGGTTCCAGTACCAGTTCCCACCAAGCTCCGGGGCCTGGCTCTCAGTGGAGGCTCTGCCAGGCACCTCTCTCCCAGCATGGGTCAGTGTGAGTCTCTGGGTGACTGGGCACCTTCGTGATTTCTAAGCCTCATCCGGGGCCGCCACCTGCCCTGCCACTCTGCAGAGCCTGCTGTGCCGGACAGAAAAGGGGCTGTGGTGAGAGATGCAAAGCCACAGATGGGCAACTTTTCTAGGTCAGTAAGAACTTCAAATGTTTATGTTAAAGCAAACATGTATTATGAAAGAAAGTATAACATTAATATGATTTCTTTTCTTTTTTTTTTTGAGATGTTAAGTCTCACTCTGTTACCCAGGCTAGAGGGCAGTGGCGATTTTCAGCTCAGTGCAGCCTCTGCCTCCTGGGTTTACATGATTCTCCTGCTTCAGCTACCTGAGTAGCTGAGATTACAGGCACCTGCCACCATGCCTGGCGAATTTTTGTATTTTTAGTAGAGATGGGTTTTTGTTGGCCAGGCTGGTCTCAAACTCCTGACCTCAAGTGATCTGCCTGCCTTGTCCTGTCAAAGTGCTGGGATGACAGGCATAAACCACCACACCTGGCCTCTCTCTCTTTTTTATTTTCCGAGACAGAGTCTCGCTGTCTCTCAGGCTAGAGTGCAATGGCACGATCTCAGCTCACTGCAACCTCCGCCTCTCGGGTTCAAGCCATTCTCCTGCCTCAACCTCCTGGGTAGCTGGGATTACAACAGGCGTGTGTCACCACACCCAGCTAATTTTTGTGTTTTTAGTAGAGATGGGTTTCACCATGTTTGTTAGACTGGCCTCGAACTTCTGACCTTTTGATTCGCCCACCTTGGTCTCCCAAAGTGCTGGGATTACAGGCATCAGCCACCGTGCCTGGCCTGACCCCTCTCTTTAAAAATAAATAAATAAATAAACTAGAAATGGGATTTCACTATATTTCCCAGGCTGGTCACAAACTCCTGAGCTCAAGTGATCTTCCCACCTTGGCTTTCCAAAGTGTTGTTATTAACAGGTGTGAGCTATTACACCTAGCCATTTTTTTTTTTTTAATTGAGATGACATTCACATGAAATTAACCATGGTAAATGAATAATTCACTGAGAGTACACTCACAAGGCTGTGCAACCACCACTTCTGTCTGGTTCCAAAACATTTTAATCACCCCAAAAAGAAACTTTGCAGCCACCAGCAGTCATTCTTCACTTCTCCCTTCCAGCAACGCTGGGTCCCCACTCTGGGCAACCAGTAAACTTTCTGTCTCCATGGACTTGCCTATTCTGGACTTTTTTTTTTAGACCGAATCTTGCTCTGTTGCCAGGCTGGAGTACAGTGGTACAATCTCGGCTCACAGCAGTCTCTGACTCCCAGGTTCAAGCAATTCGCCTGCCTGAGCTTCCCGAGTTGCTGGGACTACAGGCATGCACCACCATGCCCAGCTAATTTTTGTATTTTTAGTAGAAACAGGGTTTCACCATATTGGCCAGAATGGTCTCGATCTGTTGACCTTGTAATCTGCCCACCTCGGCCTCCCAAAGTGCTGGGATTAGAGGTGTGTGGACTTTTCATATAAATGGAATCATACACTCTGTGGCCTTTTGTGTCTGACTTCTCACTCAGCATGATGTTTTCATTTTTGTTGCTTTGGTTTTGGCTTTTTTGAGAGAATCTCACTGTGTCACCCAGGCTGGAGTTCAGTGGCACGATCTCATCTCACTGCAACCTCTGCTTCCTGGGTTCGTGCGATTTCCTTCCTCAGCTTCCTGAGTAGCTGGGACTATATAGAGCCAGCCACCATGCCTGGCTCATTTTTGTAATTTTTTAGTAGAGACGAGTTTTGGCCATGTTGGCCAGGATTTTCTCAAACTCCTGACCTCAGGTGATCCACTCACCTTGGCCTCCCAAAGTGCTGGGATTACAAGTGTGAGCTACCATGCCCGGACTGTTTTTGGTTTTGGTTTTGGTTTTGGTTTTGGTTTTGAGACAAAGTCTTACTCTGTCGCCCAGGCTATAGTGCACTGGCACAATCTCGGCTCACTGCAACCTCCGCCTCTCGGGTTCAAACGATTCTCCTGCCTCAGCCTCTGAATAACTGGGATTACAGGCAAACACTACCACGCCTGTCTAATTATTGTATTTTTAGTAGAGACGGGTTTTCACCATGTTTGCCAGGCTGGTCTTGAACTCCTGACCTCAAGTGATCTGCCTGCCTTGGCCTTCCTCAGTGCTGGGTTTTCAGGCGTGAGCCGCCATGCCCAGCCAGGGCTCCTAGTCTGAGAAGTGATAGTGTCACCCTGCTCAGCCTTGCTGGAAGGGAAGGTCTTGCGATTCCACTCCCTGCTGTGTGTGTGCCCTGGCCCGTCCCAGGCCCTGCACTGTTTCCCCTTGTTCCCATCTTGCCTGCTTGCTTTTAAACTTCAGTGTGGGTTATTTTCCTCTTTGTTATTCTTCTGCCTCAGAAACCCCAGCAAGGAAGTCTTGGTTGCACAGGCATTAGGATTAGCTTAGTGTGCCTTTTTTTTTGAGAGGAGTCTTGCCCAGTTACCAGGCTGGAGTGCAGTGGCGATCTCAGCTCACTGCAACCTTTGCCTCCGGGGTTCAGGCATTTCTCCTGCCTCAGCCTCCCGAATAGCTGGGACTACAGGTGCGCACCACCACGCCCAGCTAATTTTTGTATTTTTAGTAGAGACAGGGTTTCACCATGTTGGCCAGGGTGGTCTCAATCTCTTGACCTCGCAATCCGCCCACCTCAGCCTCCCAAAGTGCTAGATTACAGGAGTGAGCCACTGCACCCGACCAGTGTAGTGTGCTTTTTGACATCAGGGTAAGGTAGTGTTGGAGTCTTGGGTGGGATTTTTGCTGCCCCCTTCATAAGTGTCTGGCCTGGTGCCCAGTAAGCTTCAGGAAAAAGCTTTAGCTTTTCTGCCTCCTCCCAAGCTGCACCTACCCCCCGCCCCATCCAGCCTGCCCCTTCCTTCTGCTGAAGAAACGTGGGATGGAGCAGCAGGAAGACTGAGGCATCAGGAATCACCTGAATAACTGGGTTTATTCAGCAGGCAATTGCCTGATGGAATGGTGTGCAGCCATCTTGTAAGCACTGATATTTAAAGAATCTTTAAAGACACGAAAAACTCCTCCGAAATACCATGTCATCCCCATTTGGGAAAAGGAGAAAAATTGTATGCATGTAGGCAGAAAAAACTGCAAACATGGGAATAAATCCTCTAAAGCATTAGTGGGGTGGTCCCTGAGTGGTGACAGGTGATTTTTAATTTTTTTTCTTTCTGTACTTTTCTGTTTCCTGCAATGATCAGTCATTGCTCTGGCAATCGAAAAAATACCTATATTATTAAGAGAGATGTTTACAAAAGGTCAGTTACCTCTGATGTTCCCCAGGAGGAGATGGCAGGCTCTTTAAAGGAGGAGGACCAAGCCACCTTGGCTTCGGGAGAGAGGAATTGACAGCCATGATTGTTGGTGCGCACTGCGGCCACCAGGGGGTGCTGGGTGCACGCAGCACGGAGACTGCAGCCTTCTCCGCTCGCCTCCCAGGGCCCCTGGCAGCGAAGTGTGCAAGAGAGGGTTGCAGACCCCAGGGCCTGGGTGTGGCCTGGCTGCTGGAAACGGCGCCACCGAAAAATCAGCAAGAGACTCCCCAGGCCCCCAGCTCATTGTAGCCTTCAAAGAACACTGGCCCCAAAACTACCCGGTTCAAGGTATTTTTAGTATTTGGCCTGTCTGGCCCCGCCTCTGACGTGTTTCAAAACCGCTCCTGTCATCTTGCTCTTCCCGCAGATGCTTCTGATGAGCAGAACTCACAGTCCTTGATGGAACATTCGATGAACAGCTCAGAGAAAGTAGACCGGCAGCAGTCTGGAGACACGGGTCTGGCCACAGAGACGTCTGCAATCTCTCAGGTACCTCGCTCGAGGTCTCAGAGGGGCAGCCAGATCGGCCGTGAGCCCGTTGGGTTGTTGGGGGTACGTTGAAAGGCGTTTCGTTGTTGTGTTTTGTTGTTTTGTCGTTGGACTGTTGAAACTGTCATTTGTCCACTGGGCGATGTCCATGAACACAGTCCTGTGCCCTGCCCTGGGCCTCGGGGCCAAGGGATAATGAGCCTTGTGGCCTCTGCCCTCAAGGAGCCTCTGGGTTGGAGGAGGAGGAAGGACCTTGAACCCAGCCTCAGCTTCTGTGTTTTGTCTGTTGGGGCTCACAAGCATTGCCTCATCTCAGTGACCCCCAAATCGGCAAGCTTTAGAGCTGAGAAGACAAGACTTTGGAAACCTAAGTGGGGGGCATCCTGTGGAATGGTGCCGCTGACCCCACTGGCACGGCGTGGGCCCCTCTCCAGGTCAGAACTGTGCTGGAATCTGGTCTGAATGAGTCAGCGCAGGTGTAGTGGGCTCGGTGGTAAAGAGCAAGCCTCCCAGAGTCGGGCCCAAGTTTGAATCCCAGCTCCCAAAATGGGATCACAGAACTGTCTTGGGGCCACTGTGAGGATTCAATGGGAGAACGTGGGTAAGTACTTAGCATGGAGCAGACACAGAAGATATCGAAGCGTCATTGGCCACAACCACCATTAGGATTTTTCACTGTAAATCCTCTAGACTCAGCTGGGCGTGGTGGCTCACACCTGTAATTCCAGCACTTTGGGTGGCTGAGGCGGGCAGATCACCTGAAGTCAGGAGTTTGAGACCAGGCTGGCCAACATGGTGAAACCCTGTCTCTATTAAAAATACAAAATTAGGCCGGGCGCGGTGGCTCACGCCTGTAAT